TAGAAATTTCAGTAGGTTGCGAACCATCAGGATTGTTTAGCAAAACTGTCAGCTCCAAGCCCACCAAACATATTCATCAGCATCTCCAAACCCATGTTGTTATGTGCTCCTACACAGTACACACCACCAAAAAAAAGGATCTGGCATAGGCTAAACTGAAGGATTGGTGAAATGTACAGGAAATCTCATCCATAAGAATCAACAGAAGCATGTGTGTGTGTGTGTGTGTGTGTGTGTGTGTTCCCAGTTTTGGGTGCTTTCATATCTCTCCACCTTGACCCGTCTGAGCTCCGTTCCTGAGAAAATAAGATTAAGCAGGGTTCATGATAATGCTTGACAAACTTCTCAAATAAACAAAGACTGTAGTAGTAGTACATAATCTCATGCATCAAAGAGCACATGGAAATAGTAAGGCCATTCAAAAAAAAAAAAATAAATAAAAATAAAAAATAAAATATAGTGTGATGTAAGGAATGGGCCAAACCACCTTTAAATTAAAATTACAGTTGAGAAGCATCACATGCAAGAACAAACTAAAGGTGTGAATAAACTTTCTTCATGTTTAGGAAATCCAGATGTGGCTACGATGAGGTCAAATATAAAGAATATAACAGCATTCCATGAAGAAATGCAATACATCATAACCTATAAAGATGCCCCTTAGCTATAAATACACCATATAACCATCATCATAATCATAAGCAATCAAAATGTAGCTGAATGATCTATAATAAGAAGGAAAAAGTTATTTCACACTCACAGTGTTGATTGCTGCTGAGTAAGTTGTGAAAGTTGTTGTTGTAAAGCCATAACTTGCTGAAACAACAAAGGACATGCCCGTAAGAGAAAGAGCCAAGGATCACATAGGCTTACCATATTAAAAATGACGCATTTAATTGCAAGAGAACTTCAACCAAAATACAGAGCCAGTCCACATTAAATCCTATCTAAGTGTACTTCATTTATCATGTGGTTCGTTTCCTGCATCTCTAGATGCATTCATATTTTTGCAAAACTTACCGAGATGACCTTATCAATTTTGACTATCATATTTGCAAAACTTATCGAGATGACCTTGTCAATTTTCATTATGATAAAAGAACAAAAGTAGGCAGGCATTACCCACCTCTCCCACCAAACTTAATCAATAAACTCCACGTATGAAGTCATAGCAGAAAACTCGAGTGAACGAAGAGCATCAGATATACCTGCATCATCTCCAGCGAGGTCAATTGTTGGAGAATTTCTGGGTTTTGCATCATTTCTCTTAATTGATGGCTCATATCAAGCATGTTGCGGAGTTGAGGATTAAAGCCCAACATCTACAAAATGCCGATTTCAGCATTAAATGAAGTCAATGTTAAATTATATAACCCATGGCCTGCCACTAAATTGGTATCTGTTCCATGTACTGAGGGTTGGAAAGCAGGCTTTGTGTGATCTGCGCCACAGTTGGATTTTGCAATAACTGACTGAAGGCAGCATGATCAGTCATGCCTGTACGACCCAATTCTGGGAGAACAATACCTCCCGATCCAGCAATTGAAGGTACTCTAGCATCACTAATGGGATTAGTTCTCATACCACTATTTGTTTGATAAACTCTTGAATCATTTGAATCATTACAATCAGGAGCACATATATCATTACAAAAGATATGTAGAGGGGATCACTAAGATCAGAGGTAAACCAGAGGGCAAAATATTATATTGAAACCGAACAATGTATGTCTTGAAGATGTATTTGGATTGAGGATTTGGTTCTGTGCGTTTCAAATTCCCAAGTCCAAATCCGCATACATGGTTGAATGACAATAGAGGTTGAAGGATTTTAAATTCACACCTGGAAGTTCAATGGAATTTACTATTATTTTGAGAGATTTCAAATGACTCCTAAAACCTAGTCATTTGAAATTCACTACATTGCAACACTATGACGACTACACCATTGTTGCGAAACATACATTACTCATATTACAATCTATCCATATCCAATACCCATTAATTTACAAAAAATGTGAATTCATTCACTAACATAATTGTCATTATTAATTGGTATTTTTTTCGTATATTATAATATTTTTTTCAAAACTTTGTTTCAACATACATTAACCCGCTGACCTATTATATTAATAAAAATGATATTTCAACATACGCATTTATTTTTTAATACAACAAAAATAATAATTTTACATATTTTAGTTCATCAAAATACTCAAAATATTAATTTATTGTCATATAATGTCATTATTATTTATAACACTTATAGATGTAATATTTTTTTATATATAATGATAAATATGTAATGTATTTTTAAAAAAGTTACCATTGTAGTAAAATCTATATTTATATAAAAAGTTATACTATTTACTATAAGTAGTAGTAAGAAAAGTCAAAAGTAATTAATGCATTCTATTTCTATCAAATATTTTATTTAATTATTTTAATTAATTGTCTTATCTCATAACATTTTTTCAATACAACTTACCATGATTTTTCTATTGTGATTAAAAACCAGATTTTACGTTTAAAATATTGTGAATCTATTTTCCTTATACAAAATCGAGCTTGCAAATCTGTTTTCCTTTTTGGATCAATTTTGTTTGAATAATTTTGAGGATGAGTTTGTAATTTCGGTGTTACACTTGCTTCTATTTTCAGGTACAATTAGCTATAGGATTTGCTATGTTTTTTTTTATTATTTTTTTATTTTTTGTTGCTTATGTTCAATATATAATGATAAAAGCTAACTTTAGTGTGTGAGAGTGTGTGTAATAATTGTGTGTCAATAGTTAAAGAAAAAAAACACATTGAATTATTAGCTTATAAGAATATGGATTTGATTGAGCTATTAAACGAAATAAAATAAAATGAAATAGAGATGCAATCGAAACAAATAAACTAATCGATGTGATTAAAAAAACATGCACGTATTTAATGTCTGGTTAAAAAAACAACGTTGGTTAAAAAATGTGGAAAAAAACTTATAACCCTATTGTTTTTTAAACTTAATGTTAATTAAAAAAGGTAAAAATAGATAAACACCCCATTACTTTTTAGACTTATAAACGGAAAAGACTGTGAAAATAACTCATTTAATATTTATGTCTCGTGCATCGCACGGGGTACGTACTAGTCTAATTTATTAGGCGAGATTTTACCGTCTACTTTTAGTATTAATTAGTTTTCTATGATAATATTTATCTAAAAAAAAAGATAATTTAGGTACCAAATTATTTCGTAACAGTATTTAATGTCGTATATATAAATATAATAATTTCTCATGTGTATATTTCGTACAATACATATATTTATATATATCATCTTAACATATAGGTTAATTAGTTTCATATCTAAACAATATATATTTTTGGAACTTAAAGATTCATAATATTAGTGACATTATGTATATTATAATATTAGTACAACGTCCGTGTATTACACGAGTGCTTGCTAATTTTTTTCTTAAAATCTAAAATTAATGAGAAAAAGTAGTTGAGAATTTAAATACATTTTATAAAAATATATATTATTATATATTCAGTATGACACTTTTTATTTGTGTGACTTACTTGTGTTATATTATACTAATTTTTTTAACTTACAACATATAACTACATTAAACATAAATATATCAACTGAGAAATAATTTTATTTTTCTAATAAATTTTAATAAATATTATTATTTTTATTATTA